ATATATACACACTAGGCACATTAGAACGAATACTTGCTTCATACATGTTGGAGAACTGTTTAAGTTGAATGCACACCACATCTGCCCTGCATCCCGATATATCCCGCTTCTGAAATCCCCACCTGATGTGCGACCCGTCCTCGACAGCACCACCTAGTCCAAGAGGTCCAAGCAATGATCCAAAATGATCCAAAGCAACTTGTTTTGAGACCTCTTGGAGCTACCGTCGCTATCTGTCGCTGAGAAAACTTGCGTATCCATTGAGTGTCAGAACAAAAAGCTCTGATATAATAAACAGGAGAGTCACTTCATGTCAATGGGTTTTTGTCAACTCAGGCTCAAAACAGAAAAAACACATTGTGCGAATTGTGCGTGTATTTTAGAATCATTTTGCTTTCCAACTAAGGTCGCACATTTCAAAACGGACGGGGAAAGAGTCCAACCATGTCCAACCCTACGTCCAGCGATGTCCAGCGATGTCCAGCGATGTCCAGCGCTCTGGGCCAGTGAGAGATTCTGAGAGTCTGACCGCTTCAAGCTCGTCACAAAGAGTTTTGCGATTGTCACGCTGGCCGGGACGAACATGTTGATCACCATGTTCGTCACAAGGGTCACACCTTCGGATCACAGCTGTAGCAGCTGTAGAAGCTGTAGAAGCTGTAGCAGCTGTGGTTTGTGCAGTTTGTGCTCACTACAGGGATACGTGCTCACTTGTCAGAAAGACAGGCAAGTCTTCCATTTAATGGACATAGATGTGACATAGAGGCTGCTCGTGAGGGTTGAGACATCTCAAGATGATGGTCATAAGGCATGAATGGTTCGCACTCTTGCCCAACATCACACCTGTGGACACATATAAAGAACATTAAAGAACATCTTCATAAACATTCATAATTTATTCATAATTCATTCATATGTTTCTAAGCTTTGGACTTCGTTGTAAACACGTTGTGTCTACGTTGTGTACGGGTCGCTCTCTCAGCTCTCTCAGCTCTCTCAGCTCTGGCCTACCAAAGCGTACCATCCACGAGTGAGCTCAGCAAAGGGACCCCTGAAGAGCAGGAATCCTGGAGTCAAAACAACAACAAAAACGATTCAAAGATGCAAACACAATATTAAACAAAATCAAACAAAATCAAACAAATGTCAGCGATAATACATGATAATACAGAAATACACAAAGCATCCAACGTGCCGTAAGGATTCGTAAGGAACATTCTGGACCAAACTTGACCTAGAAAACACATTCAAAACAATATCTGTTTCAAGGTGTAAGCGATAAGCACACACCATGCCATGTACTTCTTTGATCTTCTTTGTCTTCTATTTCTTAGTTGTTTATTTATCTTTCTCTCTGGCTCTATCTCTCTCTCTCTCTCTCGCTTCCCGTATACATGTATCATGTACATATAAAACATGTACACATAAGGGCAACGCTCTTTTTTTGGACCTTGGATAACTTCTTTTCAACCTTGCCTCTCTTTTTTGACCTTGGACTACTTTTCTTAAAAACCTTGGCCTATTTTATTCGAAACCCTGGCCTATGTACTCGTTTTCAAACCTTGGCCTACTCTTTTGCAATCTTGGCTGACTTTTTTACAGCCTTGCACCATCTTGCACCTTTTTGTTCTAACCATGTCCACTTGCCAAGTTTAAGAAAGGTGGTTGCCAAGGGTGACAAAAAAGAGTTCCCCTGGAAAATTGTAGAGTATTGAGTGCGCACATGTGGATTGCGCAGTGGATTGTACAGTGCGGTAGACTGTGGAGTGTGTAGTGTAGAGTGAAGTGTTGAGTGTGTAGGGCGTGGGGGCGTAGAGTTTGCAGTGCTAAGTGCACATGTTGATTCATGTTGGCCTGCTTTTCCCTCAAATGGCTCAGATGGCTCTGCTCCTACGCCAGGCAGGGCCAGCACAGCTTCACGAAGAGCCTCACAGAAGGAAGGCGGTGATCCTTTAGGACGAGTTCCTCTTCGATCAAACGTCATCAAGTATTGCAACAGTTTGCAACAGCTTGTGACAGCTTCCTGGTTTAATAAACTAAAAGCACTGATCTTCATAATATCGACAGAATAATAATGAATAATACCGGTTGACAACCATGTCTTCTTGGTTCACCATTGCAGAGTCTGAAGACTAGAACGGCTTCAGCGGCTTCAGTTCTTCCTGGTCCTAGTTTCCCCTGACCCGCATATTTTGATCTTTTCTGCCGGCCTCCCAATCAAAACATATCACATTTATGATAGCGAGTTTTTGCCCATTGAGCCTTCGGTGCAAAGTAGTTTACAACAAAGAGAACCTCATTGAAGCAGCCACCGGAATGCCAACATGTCAGTCCCACTGTCACCCTGCAACAGCGCCGAGGAAATAATATGAAATCATGGAATTGTCAAAAGAAACCCAAGGATTGCGCTTCACTGCATGATTTTTCTTTACCGGTTTCGGTTATTGAAACTTTCACGACACTTGCAATGGAACGGTAAAAAACACAAAAACCTTGAAAAACATGTTGCATTTATTTGGATTTTTGTGTTAGGGAGATTTACGGTGTTTGTTTTCCCTTTGTTTTCCCTTTCTGCATGATCATTCTTGATCTTGTGGCGTGAGCTCCAGGCGAAGCCCGTATTCAAGGTTTGTGCCCAAAACGCCTGGCAGGGCACCGCTAAACTAGATCTCCGTGCATTCTTTTGATCGAAGTCTTGCAAAACTTTATAAAACACCAATACGCATAATAATATAATCACATCATATACATAAAAATTCATCAATTATATATATATATATTCAATATTATTCAATTATACATCCATATACACAGTTCACACACCATATAACAGTAATTCGTTCAACTATTCTACACACAACGAACACGTCCTTGGAGCTAACTTGGTGTCACTTGGAGCTGGTTACCTTCGTGAACATACAACGTCAGTTTAAACATAATATCTACGTAACATGTTTTTTTGTTGGTATTTTAACATATACAGTATATTACAGTATTATATAAATTGTATTAAATTGTATTAATGATTTTCCAAAAGTTTTGCATTGTCCCAATTACCATCAATTCCCCGTCATTTCTGCACGAGTCCACCTTGCTCCAGCCTTCTGGATCATTGAGCTGTTGAGGGCTGTGTGGGACAATGGTCGTTCAAACTCAGCCTCAACGCTGGAATCTCAGACACACAGAATCTAAAGCAACATAAAAAACACTGCATCGGTACATGTAGAATGTAGACATTACGCAGATTTTAGAGACACATAGGGAGATACTTTCTACACAAACAAGAAACGACAAGCATATCTAAACATAGGGTGAACATATCGCATGTGCATAGATACTCTGGGTATCCGGGTATCCGTCGAATCTATATACCTACCTCCCTCTCTACCTGCCCTATCTGTCTATCTAGATATTCACACATCGTGATTCTGTCAAATGAAATGGCGCCAAAGGTCTTTTCCGTACTCTAGCTTTGCAGTGTTTAGACTGTTTGATGTGACAAGTGACGAACCATTTCTATACGTTGCACTACGCTACTCCTTGCACAAAGTGCTACTGAGCTCCGTTTGGTTCTGCATAGGACTATCAATGATAAATAGGCCGTTTCTTTCACTTCCATTCACCAAAAAGGATCAACAAGTTGCAGCAAGCTACAATTTTCCAAATCTTTGAAACATTTTGAAACAGCCTGCTGTCATCAGCCTGCTGTCTTTTCACTCGGAAGCGCATTTGCTGAGGTCATTGGCCAGATATTGAATGATCAACTGCAACACCAAGTTGATCACGGTCACAATCTCGCAGAAACATATGAGGCAAGTCATAGGCAAACTTCGTGGGGGGCAAGGAGGCCGAAGTGAGATTACCATAGATTACCTGAATTTGATGATGTTGTCAGATGTCATGTTTTTCCTAATTCATTCTAATTCAGTTCTCCCAGGGATAACTCTTGAACCAATTGAAACCCAGTCCAGATAGTCCACTGGTTTATGAAACATGAAACCTCAATTGCCAAAAAGAAAATGACTCAGACAGGTAGCTAACATGTAGCTAGGCGTTTGCAGCTCAACTGCTCTCGTTCTCGGGTTGTGAGCAGTGCTGACGGTAACTTTACCCTCTCTAAACAGAGCAAGGGCGGCAATCTATTTGAGCCTCATTTGACCCGAACATTCCTGCAGTTCTCAGTCTTGGCACCCAAACCACCGATGACCCAGTCGCGATTCCGATGGTTGTGCCCAATTCTGGCAAAAGGCGCCCAGTTTGTTATGAAAAATGCAATGAACATGCAATGAATGCAATGCATATTGGAGAGACATGGAGAGACTTGTTTCCAACCAGGTCCAATGAGATGCATACCGTCCCCTGAGGGATTTTTAACATAGCAATGGCTGCGCGGCAAATTCTACAGGCTGGAAACCAATTGAAATTGCAATCAGAATGAGCAGCACATAGCAGCACTAAGTTCCAAATGTATCCAATGGTCCAATGGCATCGGCATCCAATTTCGTGCAAACTTTGCACTTCCCCCTGGCTGCTTGCTTGCCTATGAACCATGGGCCACAGGCAGTCATATAGTCTGCAGTGGCAGGATATGGCAGAGTCCACTGAAGCTGGGAAAGGAAACGTCATGAAATAAACTTGACTTTGCAAATTAGCATTTGTTGTCATTGCTCAGAGGAAAGACTCTGAGCGGCACAGGGTGGCTTGTGAAACGACCTTTTGAAAGAAATTCACTGGGCACCCAAGCAATGAACACAAAAAAATACTGGTAGTATCTGGTAATATCTGGTAGTGGGGAAAGAGCTTGTTGGCACAGGGCCAAAACAAGAAGCCCACGAACAAGAAGCCTACGATGTTCTAGCAAGAGTGAGAAACAACATAAGCAACTGCATTCCAGCTGAATGGATTGCAAAACCTAGAATTGAATGGAGTTGGTCGAAGGAAACTACAAAACAAGACTGCAAAACAAGCCAAAACAACATACACTGAAAGGTAACGGCCTGCTACGGACTGCTACTGCTTTGATCTTGTGCATCTGCAGGGCCGCCTCCATTGGAAAGGATAGCCTGGTATCCCAAGGCCGTGCACCAGCAGCTCAGGATATCACCGCCTGCGGGTGGCGCCCACCGGAAGTCGGGATCTTGGGGTATCTTGGGGTATCTTGGGGTTTGATCGGCAGTGTTCAAGAATGTTCAAGAATGTTCAAGAATGTTCAAGATAGAGTCCTTCCATGTTTTTCCGTATGTTCTTCCGTAGGAACTTCCGTACATCTCCCCACCCGACACTTGCGATGGATGCGATGGTGATTTCTCGTCACCGAAGAAATTCTTGGGCCCCTCGACTTCGTCACACAGACCGCCTTCCCCCACCGCATAGTCCATGGTCCAGTTCATGGCGTTTTGTATCATGCACTGGTAGGGCTCATTCCTGGGCAACTGCAAAACTTCTGACTGGCTTGAAATGTCTTGAAATCATAATGACAGAATTTGGTTATGGGATGTTATGGGAACCTGAGCAGAAACTACCAGGTCTTCCTCGACAGTTCTAGCAGCTGTTGATACAATTAGTCAGCTTGCCTGAAAGCTTCAGTTTTTTAGAGCTGACTGAAGGAGACAGGTTCGGAAAGATACTTCTTTCGTTGTGTTGAACCCATCTTAGTAAATCTGAGTAACACAGTGTAACACATCTTCGCCCCACTTGGCCACAGGTGGCCACACTTGGCACGTGGCACTGAGCTGCAGACCCATTGATATCGAACTGATCTTCAGACACCGGGTCGCATGCTGGCACTCCCAAATAGCTCACCCTGCAGACGTCTCCAATGATCTTCAATGTCTCCAAACAAAAAACATCACACACATTGGCACACATCTTCCAAACAAGGCTTGATGAGCCATTGCGACTAGGAAAAAACGCAACATTGAACTCTCCTTAAAAGCATTCGAAGAAGAATCAGGAAGAAACTATAGAAAATTGTGCACGTCTAAAGACACTAGTCATTCTGATGCAGTTCAAGCATGTTCAAGCATCCTTGTAAGCTTTTTACTCAAATCATTTCCTGAAATCTGCTCTTTTGAGTTTCCTCCAAAGGCCATGTGGGTATTGTTGCTTCCGGTGTCTGTGTATGTCTGTGTATGTCTGTCCGGTGTCTGTGTATGTCTGTGTATGTCTGTGTTGTCTGTAGCTCCATTCCAAAGACTTTCTGGGGCTGGGGATGCAACTATATATAGTATTATATAGTCAAAGTACTTTGAAACTCTGCAAGTTTGTTGGCAGTATGACCGTACTCTCTGGGTGAAACTGATACAGGACAAAGTGCAACGGACTAGAATACCTAATACCTTGGTCGTGCTGAATTCAATCACTTGATCATGCTTGGTTTCTATCTTGTCACTTGGCAGTCTCATGACGTGCTCAAAGAAATCACTTGAGCTATCTTGAGCTTGGTTCATCTTGGTTCCCCGGCTGGGTTTTTGATGTCGCTTTGCTTGCCACAGTGGTGAGGTAGATGAAAGCGATCCTGAGGCAGTAACTGTGCAGCTTCGCGATAGGGCCACCATGGACAGCTTGAGCCCCAACAACAGCTCTTCACTAGCCTCAAAGTATCTCAAAGTGATCTTTGAAATGTTTGTTATAGTCTAGTACAGTGCTCTTATGTCATGCAGTCTTCACAGTCTGCATTGTCTGCATTGATGCTTAAAATGACATAATCTGACTCTGTAATCAAGCACCCCAGTATACCCCAGTGCTGAGCTACCCAACGACACCGAGAGGATCACAAAAAACACAAAGAACCTTGTCAACAAATGTCAACAAGACGAACAAGATGTGTTTTGCACGGATGCGGCCACTTTATTCCGCTGGAAGAACTTTGTCACCAAGATTGCGGGGACAGTTGAAAAAGGAACGCTGCCTCAATCACAAACACACAGGAAAAAACTGGAAAAACATGACTCATCAGCCATTCACGGGTGTGTTCATGACTAGACTTAGGTTCCTCTGTTGCACAATGTCGTGGGTGAGCTCCAAATTCAGGCATTGCAGCTTTGCAAATGAAAACCGTTCGCTTGGAACGAGGCCACAACGCAGTTTTTTTAAAAACCCTCAACGCTGAAAGTGGACCATGTCATAATCGCAGAGCTTGTTTGAACATGTGCTGCTCTAGATATGGGAACAAAGGCATTACAAAGGCAACACATTGCACAGCAACCAAAGACGAAGCCTGGTCTAGATTATGTATTGGAAAAGAACTGACAGATTCACCCTGATTTCCCCTTTTTCTAAGCAACATGTCACATAACTCAATGTCAGGACACACAAAAATTTGCCGGAAAAGACGATTGAAAAAGCCAATGTCCTGCCAGTGACTTGCCAAAAATCTCTGCTCAACAGAGCCGACGCCTTTTTAAAAAACACAGCGCCCTGGATTTATTTCAGTCTGTGAGTTTGTGAGTCTGTACAGTCTGTGAGTCTGCATTCTTCAAGCTTCCATCCGTACAAGCATGTACCCTGTCAGAACGCTGTCAAAATTCCCATCTCCTGATTCTCCCAAATGATATCCGTTGGCTGCGGCGCCCGGGTGACGCGAATGGCGGTGCCTGGCAAAGAGGCCGTTTCGGAAGGGATGCAATATGACGGAATAATTCCAATGGAATTCTATGAATCGAGCATCCTTGAGAAAGTGGACATTCAAAGAGAGTGGCTATGAGGGGCTTTCCATTTCGGTTTTAACTCAAGTCCACCATGGAAAGCACGCCTAGAATGCAAATGTTTGGCAAACTTTGTGGAATTCAAATCCAAGATAATCTCTCTATATATATATAAGTACTTCTTCAGCTGTTCCACACAAACTTGTACAAATTTCACTTCGAAATATGTACAGAGTGCAGTTGAGCGCTACTGTTTCATCAGTATGTATAATCTTGCTAATTTTATCTAATTTTCTAGGCCTATAGGAATCTCACCTCACATTGCAGGTTCAGCATGGTTCAGCCAGTTCTTGAAGGCAACTTGGGCCTTCAAAACGCCTTGCCCGAAATTGACAGCATCTGAAGAGCTTGTACTTTGCGAAGCCTTGCCAGGCAAAACTGCACATGGAGCGCCCAATCTTGCCGTGACCAATCTCAACACAAGGCTTTTCAAGATGTTCACATATTTTGACTCAACATATGACTCGTTGTCTTGGCTTGTCTCGCACACAGCAGGCTTCGTTCCGTTGCCAGCTGATGGATCTTGGTTTGGAGGTGAAACTTGGTGAAACTGCCCGAAAACCCAAGGGGTTTGTGCAGTGTATCTTTGTGTAAGGTGTCTGCAGCTCCAACTGATCGATACTGACTTTCTGTAATTGTTCCACAGGGAATTCATTCCGGGTTCCGAACGATAGTCGAACAGAAGGTTCTGCACCTGAATGATATGGCTTTCCACAGCACCACGCTGCTAAAGTTCAAAATGAGAGTTGGTCATTCGCGGATCGAAGTGAGAAAAACGTGCCCTGTGGGATGTGAAGAACATCCTGGTTCAATCAACTATTTTGTCCAAAGAGCATCAGCAACAGCAACAGCAACGACAATAACGACAATAACGACAACTCAATCCTTCTGATATCCCCACATCTAGCTGAAATAGACCCACGCATGCCACGCATGCCACGCATGCCACACTTCTAGGTTTCCTGACATCTTCCGTGTTGTTGAGGATTACGTACGCGCGGACCTGGGTCATCATAGCCCAGCTGTGCTCTAGCAACACTTTGTGCCGTTCCGCAAAGTGAAAACCGCACTGGATCTGTGTTGAACCACCACACGAAAGCATGCCACAGCTGAGTTCCCTGATGAACACCTAATCAACCGTAATCACTACACGAGAGGATTCTTACATCCACTGTATCCAGTGAAAGTCAATTTGTAGGTACAAATCTGATGCATTCTGATGCTCTATAGACATCTATAGACTCTATATGTTTTTGGCGACCTGTCAACCTCGGACATGTGGCCCCACACCACTGGAAGAAGCTCTTCCCCGTCCAACTTCGCACCAAGCTTCTCTTCCAACTTCCTGATGGTGAAAAACAATGAAAAACATGCCCAGGACACAAACACGCACGAAAAAGACACAACCCTGCGCTGCTGCACCAACCTCAACAGGCTCATTCAAACGACGTTCGAAATTGTACGTCACTACACTACGTTACGCCCGTTACCCACTTGATCCCACTTGCATTGCGTTGGCAGCTGAGCATCTCCAGTTGCTTCTGAAGTTTGTCGACTTTCTTGCTTTCCCTTGGATCATGACAGGTGCCTATCCGAATCCGCAAAGGCTTCTCTGGTGATATTCTCCATTGATACAAAGGTATACAAAGAAGCTTTGGAACTTGAGGAAAGTATGTTTGAAATCTTTTGAAAAGTACTTCCAAGCATTTGGCGTCATTCAATTCAGCCTCCACTCAAAGGTTTTCTTTTCTCTCCGAATCGAACCTCTTTATGTCCAAAGAGTAGGGCCTAGTAGGGGGTATAGACTCGAAGTGCTGTGCAAGGTCCTTTTTTCTTTGAGACATGGTGGAGACTGCCAAGACGGGCGCCAAGTGGCACCCACAGGTCTTCTAACGTGGCAGGGTGGCTACTGTCAGGGCGTATGTATCCGAATAGATCATGTGGGATTGTCACATCCAATGACGAATGCCACTTTCATGGGATAATTCAATAAATTCAAAGAAGACCGCTATTTCTCAGTGACTCCTTCTTCAAATTTATTTAATATCTTCGTCGCTGTCTGAACTGACAGCATTACGTTTGGGTTGTCCACATGAAACGAGCCTCTCCAACCACCGGGCAGCCCGCCCGATGCAAGCGGGGTTTGGGCAGTCACACCAAGGTTGAATGAACAGTCTATCATATGAATCATATGTCTATCATCAAACCACTGACAGGTAATACACGCCGTGAATCCATCCAACTCATTTTTGTACAAACTGAATGCAATTGTCTTTTGTTGTATTTTGCATGTCACATCGAAATTCATTCAAAAACGATCCGCAAAAAGCGACCACTAAGCTTCAGACTTTCCCTTCGCATATGCTTTGGCGATGCCAACGCCTCAGTCCAAGAGACAGCTGGTCAAATCTTGCTTGGTCTTTTTACATTTCATCTCCTAATATCTCCTAGCAAATCTTTTCCTTCGAACGCCAAGGGACAAGTCTGGTCCATAGTTCTGGTGCGTCACTCAGGCCTTCTGCTCTATTTATTGCTTTCAGGAGTTATTTTCTCTGTTGAGCTGGTTACAGGTGGTTGTTTGCTTCTCTTCCAACTTTGAAAACAAAAAGAATACATGCTGAAAGGACACCAAGCATCCCTGCCTTCGAATGGACACAAAAACAAATCAAACGTCCAAAGGGATC